GGGGGGGGGGGTTGAAGTAGGCAGCGTACCCTGAAGCAAGCATCGATGGCTGATTCCACGGCTCAAACCCATGACCTATAGGTCATATGGAGACAATTTTACTGTTGCTCCAAGTCCCCCCTTCAATATGATGTTCTTAGTAAACCATCAATTTAACTATCTGGTGTGGGCCCACAGATGATAGTTAAGACTGTATTTGGGAAAAGTTGTATGTTGTGACCTGTGTTTGATGCATATCCATTTACAAACTTCAGTATCATAGCGCCGGGTTCTTTTCTAGTTTCAAGATTCTAGCATCAAAAGTTGCTAGCAGTGTCTTCTTTCTCGATGTATGGTGTTAGTCGTTATAGACTCTGGTTTATTTTACTGCATAAGGATGCATCGGAAATAAAAGGTGTCCATACATGTAGAGATTAGCTGTCCCGTACAAATGTTAATGCTTCTTTCTGCTGAAAGTAGTAAAATATTTTCAGCACGTTAGGAGAGGAGTTCTCCATAAATTTGTACAGTTGTGAGTTATTTCCTTTACCCTCTTCCCTAACCCCTCATCTTGGTCATATTCCATATTCCAGTATCACTGTCATTTTCTCAATAATTACTAGTATGTATTTGACCTGATGGTGGAAAATTTGTACAGTTAAAACTTCAAGATCTGCCAGAGGTTCCTTCTACAGTACCTTTTGCTGAGAATGTTGAAGATAAACTGGATCTACCTGACGTACCAACTAAAGCACCAGTCATCACGGAAGCTGTTATGGAGGACGCGCAAGATACTTCAGCTAGCGTGGTTGTGCAAAAGAAAGGTTACTATTCTTTTCTCCCTTATTCTTATACACACACACGCACACACACAGAGACATCTTTACTAAATCATGTATTCTTCTGAATTTTCTGTTCAAATTTGCACAGTTCTGGAGGAACCAATACCTGCTTGATTCCAGCGCAACTTGGTTGCTTCATATGTCATGTTTGGTAATTTTTCGAAAAGTGTGTCAAGTTTCAGGATGCTATAAAAGTATTCGATGTTTAAAATTTGTAATTTTTCAAAAGATCCTATCATATCTCCTGTGACTTGTGCAAATTGTGGTTCTGGGGTCATGTACAAGATTTCAGATTTGTACCGTGCTCTTGTGCGTTGCTGACTCGTACGAAGTCATTTATTTACCATTATCTTCATGCTCATGTCTGAGTAGTTTCCTGTAGTTCTGTTACCTTTGTATTGTGCAAGAAAGAAGGTAATTGTGTCTTTTAAGACCCAACTCATGTTTTAGATTGACCAAATGAGCCACCAGAAAATTAATGACTCATAACTTCATTGAAACATCTCAGAACTGGTTCCAACTCTAGTATGTGCTAATTGCCTTACCAGCGTCCAAGCATTCTAAGCAAGGAATTGCCTTTCAAGGAAAGTTTCGTTTGGTTTTCCAAATGATGGTATCAGTACATAAGCCTTCGTTAATGTTGTGTTTTCCTAAGCTTGAGGAACTACTCTGACATATACCATGCAAAGCACCCAGACGTTTTTCCAGCCATCTAATTTCACCATTTTTTTTTGCATAACATTTGCTAAGAGACCGCAAATCATATGCAACCTCTAAGAGGAAAATAAAGTAATTGTAGGTGCAAAAGGGGATAAAGAAAGCAACAGCAGACAAACAGGAAAAGAATGTGAAAATAACATGGACTAGCCAGTTTTCGGATAGATATTAGAGCGTTTGCAAAGTCATTGAAAAATATCAATTATTTTATGCGGAAATAAAATCTGGACAAAAATACCCTAGCTGAAATATGAAAAGGATTATGGAGCTCCTTTATAGTATAAACTTCCAGCATATTATGTTGGAACTCCAACATATTATGAAATTCCAGCATAATAGATTCGAACTCCATCATATTATAAAAGAATTTTTTCGTATTTTAAGGGTGTTTTTGTTCAGATTTTATTTTACATGAAAAAATGATTAAATTTCGATTACTTTTAAAATTGTGACTATTTTTCAATTAGCAGTTGTAAACCATGCTATTTTTGTTTTTTTCCCTAAAAAGAATAGCGAGCAAAAACTTCTTAAAATTTTACAACATATTTAAGACATCCGAAATTTCTACATTTTTAGTACTACAGTCAAACCTCTCTATAATAGCCTCGTTTGTTCCAAATATTTTTGAATGTTATAGCGAAATACTATTATACAGAACATATATTATAACATAACATAAAAATTGGTTCTGAAAAAGTTTCGCTAAGGAAATCCAAAAGGGGTAGAGGTATTTTGATATTTTGTAGCTGGAATAATGCTGGTTTTTTGCACCCTTAGATCAAGAGGGCTCTAAATCTGACCAATAAGGGAAAAATTCTTGACTGTAGAACATTTATCCGATTTCACCACATTAAAACTCTTATCTTGCAGCTTGTCGAAAATAACTCCATTGTAATCCATCATTAAAATGGAGATTTTCCTGAACACTCTTCATCGATACAAACTCCGTTACATACTTGTTTTTTGATAAAAACTGGACAAAATATCCTGAATTTTTTTGGGTTTTAACACATTGTGGCATATGAAACTTGATTCATATATCAAATCCAGAGGCGGATCTAGAAATTCAAGAAGATGAGTGCACCACTGCTGACAACGACGAAAGAAGGACGAGTCGCAACTACCAAATTTGCGATTCAAGCAATTTTCAGGTTAAGATTCTAAAGTCACTAGAGTTGGGGGCTTGGTAGATGATGAGAGATATGTGAGATAGGCGTATTCTTTTTCTCCCGAAAAATTCAATTTACATACTAAAGATGTAAATTATTAGTATTACCGATTATGTTTGCTTAGAGATTAATTATAGGTAATTTCTTACCACAACCATTTGATTGGTAACCTCTAATAGTAAGTAATCTATCAAGCTAGTACAATTATAGTGATAATGTACATATCTTTTAGCTAATATATTTGACTGCAATGCTAAGCCTTTTTTAAGAGGGGAAAAAAAAAGAGGTTAAGGCTGTTTGGTTGTGGCAAAAAAAAGCAGGAAAAAAATAGAAAAAGGAAAAAAGAAAGATTCAAAGGGAAAAAAGGAAAAAGATAAAGAAAGAGTTTGGCACTTGCCTGCGGACAAGGGGCAAAATCAAAAGAATGCTCTAAATGAGATTTTATCTCATTACCTCCTAGCAAAGTATGTGTCTTATGGTAAAAGGTTGAGCCAGTGCACCAAACACTCATTTGAGAGTATGGGGGCATAGACAAATATATCACCTTTTTAAAAATAAAATGTATGGTAAAAATACAAATTTAGAGCCACAAACATGGGTTCACATGCACCAATGGCTCCAAGGCAGATCCGCCACTGATCAAATCGTGTCGTTCTTTATTCACTGTATGTGCCTTGCATGTGTCCAATGTTTTTAGAGAAGTTCGAGTTAATATCTCGAAAATTATCTCTGAAGAAAGTGAAGAAGAAGAAGAAGAAGCCAAAGCCATTGAATTGATTCAAGGAACAAGAAGTGATAGCAACTCTTCATGGTGAGAAATGACAAAAGACTGTATATAGTATAAATATATCAGAAGGTGGCTAAAACTTGAAGATAAAGAAATAGGTAACTTTATTCCCAAATAGAGTAGTGTTCGTAAACTGTATTTGTAAAATAATTCTAGAGAAGATAAAATAATATATAAACAGAAATGTAAACAAAACAGAATTTAATCTAAGCCTACTGAATTCAAAGGAACTTAATCCTCTCCTTATACCCGAGGTTTTGGATTATTTCCTCACTGGATAGAATGAATTACAAACTGGTGTAGCGGTACTTCAAACCCCAGTGTTTCAGCGAACACAATGATCGGTAGCAAATCACACTTACTGTTACTTTCTTTGTAGTTAAAATAATGCAGAAGAAATGAGGAGAATTCAGAAATTCGTATGAAAAATCTGAGAGAATTGACTGCAATTTATAGCCCCAACATGTTGAGTTCAAACGAAGAGGTGTAACTCTTCAGAGGTCAGTTACGTAAAACGGCCACAATGTAAATGGTTATTTATGCAAATTAAAACGGGAATTCAATAACTTTTCCGTTACAAAAAATGGACGGGCAGAGAAATTACTTAAGATGGATAATTTGGATTTAATATTAATTTCCGTTACAAAAACGGATCTTTAATAATATTACGTTAATATTTACTATTAATAAATAAATTTGGTCCAAAAAATTAATTAATCAATCATTTGACCAAACCCGAAGCCGAAGCCGAGCCGAGGAGCGAGCGGCGACGACACAAGGTTTGCCTTCTTCTTAACTCTTTAAGAGCTAAGAGAAGAGCAATTATATATATACCCATCAAAAGTCTTTTCCTCCTCCAATATAGGACAATGTCCCTTTATCAAAGAGGGAAATTCAAATATTTCATTTTCCCTCTATTTTCTATTCACCCTCTTTTAAGCTAAAATAGCTTAAATAGCCCAACAATCCCCCACATGAATGGGGAATGGCTATATCACAAAAATATGCATGAAAAATTGTGTGATTCACAAGCAAGGATTAATCGCATCTGGATAAGTATTTGAACTTTCCGTAGTGAACTTATGTCGAATATACTCGGTCAATCGGTAGATTTGATATCTTTGAACCGTCGAACTTTGGTGTATACCTAGACAACCATAAGTCACACAATTAACCCTTAACCGTCTTTGGTTCTCATTGTTGTGTTCGTTTCAGCCATGAACACCGCATGATTTCATAAGTGCGTAGAGAACTGGCCTTACAAAATTCTCCTTGAAGCGGCTAACACTTCACACTTACATAGGTGATTCCTAAACGTGTCATCCTATAGATACACTATTTGATATACCCCGTATCAAATTTAGAAATCATTAAAAAACCTTAATGCTTATCCTTGGTACTGAACATTGTCTCGTCACGAGAATGAACGAAAATTTTATTTGACAATGTTAAACCGTCATTAATGACTTTGTTTGATCTCTTTAAACCTAGATCTTGGGACCTCCAGTCTTTTAGGTAGAGTTAAGGCCATAATGACTTGTTCTCGGCCATAGTCTCATTCCCCTCGATGATTTATCAACTACCTCTCTAATTAAGCCTTTCGTAAGTGGATCCGACACATTATCGCTTGATTTTACGTAGTCAATTATGATAATTCCTCTAGAGAGTAATTTCCTAACGGTTTTATGTCTTCGTCGTATATGACTAGATTTACCGTTATACATAACGCTCCCAGCCTTTCTAATTGCCGCTTGACTATCGCAATGTATGCATATTGGTGCAACAGATTGGACCAAAATGGAATGTCTTCCCATAAATTTTGGAGCCATTCAGCTTCTCCACTGGCTTTATCTAAGGCTACGAACTCGGCCTCCATTGTAAAGCAGGCAATACAAGTTTGTTTGGAAAACTTCCAAGATACCTCTCATCCACCAATAGTGAATACAGATCCACTTGTGGACTTAGAATCAGTTGAACAGGTGATCCAATTTGCATCGCAGTATCCCTCAATCACCGCAGGATATTTACTATAGTGCAAAGCAAAGTCCTGGGTATGTTTTAAATATCCCAAAAATCATTTCATTTCCATCTAATGAGATTGACATGGATTAATCGTGTATTGACTCAACTTACTTATAACACAAACTATATCTGGTCGTATACAATTCACGATATACATTGAACATCCCAACACACGAGCATAATCGAATTGTGATATGCTTTGGCCTTTATTCTTTGCTAGCGCAAGATTCACGTCAATTGGAGTCTTTGCAACTTTAAAATCTAAGTGCTTGAATTTTTCAAGTATTGTCTTAATATAATAAGATTGTGACAATGCCAAACATTGAGGAGTCTTATGGATCTTAATACGTAGAATTAAATCAGCAACTCTCAAGTCCTTCATATCAAACTTGCTAATTAGCATAAGCTTAGTCACATTTATGTTGGCAATGTCATTACTCATAATAAACATATAATCCACATATAAGCAAACAATGACTATGTGATTTGGAACATTTTTAATGTATACACATTTATTACATTCATTTATCTTAAAACCATTTGACAACATTGTTTGGTCAAATTTCGTATGCCATTGTTTGGGTGCTTGTTCTAATCCATAAATGGACTTAACAAGTCTACATACCTTCTTCTCTTTACCTGGAACCACAAACCCTTTAGGTTGTTCCAT